TTTTAGAGGAAATGAGTTGGTTTAGTTTTTATTATTTTTAGTAATGTGCTTAGGATAAATGTCACCTTAGAGAGTCCCCCAGTATAAGAAATAGAAACTTGAAATGGTCCATTTTAAGGTAGTCTTTTATTCTGAGTGGTAAGCTACTAGTAGACAAAATCGCCTACTAGCTGCAGACAAGAGCAGTGGCAGGTACCTGAAAGTCCCTGAACAAAGGAGGAGTGGATAGATAGTCAATAAAGTATGGCTTCACTATGCTGATTCTGATTGGAAAACTACTGGGTTACCCACCCATGGCTTCATCATTTGTCTTTAAACACACAAAATGCTTGCAGAGGGAGTGGGCCAAAGGTGTAGCCTAATCTAGTAGCATCCCGGAAGATTGCACACCCCATAGCTCTCAGCCAATGAGCAACTGGGGAGGGGACCTCCATGCTAGGGGATAAACTGCTCATTGTAACTGCCCTGGGCTGGTCTGCTTGCTGATTAGGCTGCCACCACCAGTGCAAGATTGAGAGGGGAAGTCTTGCTTTCCCTGCACTCTCAGCCCTGAGTTTGTACACTGTGTATGACCAAAAGAACGATCCTCACACAGGTGGCCCATCCCTGTTGTGGCTCCAGCCTAGTCAGTTTCACCTGGCTGGGAAGAGTTAAGGCTGTGTACACTTCTGACCCAGCCACAGTTCAGGGGTGCATTCTGCTCATGTTGTGGCCACCTCCAGGTGGCTTGTGGGGCGAGGTGTCACTGTGGCTCTGGTGAAAAGCATCTAAGCCCATTCCTGGGTCCCTGAGGGACGGCTCTGCCTGAGAGCTCCTGTTCGGTGCTGTAGCCTCTGAGGCCCATCTGTCCTCTTCAGTTTTCACCTGTGCATTTATAGTTTTCCCCTTTGAATTCTGTCCCTTCATCTAAACTCTGGGTACACTAGCCAGCCTTTTGTTATACCTGAGAAAAATGACTTAGAAGGGGAGGTACTTATTATGGACCATGGTTTCAGAGGTGTCGGTGTGTGGCTGGTGGCCTCTGGGGTGGAAATATCTCACTAGAGGAAAGGTGCCCACCTCACAGCAGCCAGAAAGCAGAGTATGTTGGGAAGAGCCAGAAAAGTCCTCTCCTCCAAAGTCGCCCCCAGCGACTGACCCTCCTCCTACAGCAAGGCAAGGCCTCTCATAGTCCATTCAGCTGTGGGCTCGTCAGCAGGTTGATCCGCATTCGCGGAACAGTCCTTGATGAGGCCAGTGCTCCCAAATTTCAGTCACTTCTGTAGGTCTCACTGCAGGGGAGACTAGACCCCCAGTACTGAGTCTTGGGAAGACCTTATTTAGACCACAGCACTAGGATTGTTTGGAACGCTTCAGTGTCTGCGTTTTCCTTTCTTGCTTGTGATCTTAGTAGAAAAACCATCCTCATTGATGCCGATGGCATCATTTCCCCAGCCCATTTATGTGGTGTGTATTGAGGGAGCCAAACTCTGCTGTGAGGTGAACGTGATAACCACTACACTACGGAAACCCGTCCAAACTCTACTGTCAGTGCTGTGACTGCAGTCCCCTCTAGCCCTGGCTTCGTGAGGCTCCTCTGGTGGTTCTGTGCTCCTCCTTTCTTCCTGGGCAGCAGGGTGCTTGGCGGAGAGTGTGTCTTTGGAGCTCATGGTCTTGAGTTAAAGTCTCTCCTGTTTTGGTCATTTTGGGTTACATGTGTGCCTCCCCCGTCCTCAGGATGGGGTAGCAGGTTGGTTTCTGGCAGTTGGAAGAGGAGCACAGCCTGCTGATCTTGCCCAGGTTTTGTCCAGGATGTGCTCCTGGGGCCATCAGTGTTCTGTGCTCTGTGAGGCCCTGTGGTATTACCTCTGGGTGGCCTTACCAGCCATGGGGTCCACTGTCACACTCTGGGGGCTTCTGAAGTATGCTCTGCCCCTCTTGATGCTTCCCCCAGTGCAGGTGGCTGCTGTTTTGGGCCTGGGAGGGGGATATTTATCTTGTTCTAGCAGGAAGGGCAATCCTGATTCTCTTGGCGTTTGGAAGACAAATCGGCACAGGGGTTCTCTGAGTTAAATGCCATTACTTCATTACACTGAAGAGTAACAAATGGCCCATTGTGAGAAATGACACCTAGAATAGGCTGCCGACATTTCCATGGATAAAATAATAAGCCAGCTAAACAGACGAAGAAAAATCGAGGCTTCTGCCATCCCACACAGAGTCTGTTTTCTGTGTGTCCGGGCTAAGAGCCCCACTGCTTCTGTGGCCGAGGCAAGGCTTGGGGTTTCGAGGCTCTGTCTCCCTGTTTACCTCCTACTATAGCTAAGGAAGGAGCTCCATGCTTGGAAGGCCCTTGAAAGAGAGAATATGTCCATGGAAAATGTCTCACAAGACAAGCTCTGATTATGGTTGCTGGTTCCATTCCCTGAGAATACCAAATACAATCAGCTGTGCTCTAGACCGGCGGGATGGAGATTGGTTCTGCCGAAGCCATCTTCCCAGGGAGGTGGCCACTGGCACTTGTATCTGTGCCCCCGACCTCGCAAGGTCATCAGCAGAGAGACAACAGTGCGGGTCACACTGAGGGCTGTGACAAGCCTGTCCTGTTCCCTCCCACTGCTGCCTGTGGTGCGCACTGACAAGCATTTGGAGACCTGGCATTTGCTTTTGTGACAGCTCGGCCACTCTGGGGAATTTGGAGACAGTATTCAGAGCGGGCATGCTCAGGCCAAGTGCTACACTCCTGGCTAGCAGAGTTCTCAGGCCTGGTACTGTGCAGGCCTGGGCCACAGTGGGCAGAGCCGTCCCCGTGTGCTAAGAGTGTGGAGTCATCGGAGTCATCGGAGGATATGGGCTCAGGCCACAAAGAGGGCCAAGGATGGAACCATGGCCAACCAGGCATGCCTGTTGTCTGAATCCTGCATCTGAGGGAAGGGCCAGGCCATGGCCATGTGTGTGTCTGCCTTCAGGGCTAGCCCTTGGGTGGTGAGTGTGTGCACAGGGCTAGGGATGAGGGCCCAGTACATTGTGGGTAGCAGCATCCTGTACAGTTCAGTCCAAGGAATAACTGACCCTTCTTCCACCTTCCTGCCGCTTGGACCACTCTGGTACCTGCACGTTTCGTTTTTCTTTAATGCACAGCTTCTTCAGGGGATCAGCTCTCCGGCCTGGCCCTACGTGTTGGTTGTACAGTGGTTCTCACACATGGTACCTGCCACCTGCTGTGCACCTCAACCACAATGGTGACAACCTGGGGGCCACAGACACAATGCAGAAACAGTGTGGCCCATCCTTACAGTGCAGTGTTGTTCATCCACAGAAGGATGAAGAATCGATGTCCTCTGAAAACTGTGCTGGTGAGAGGAAGCTGGCTGTGCAGCCACGTGGTGTAGGTGCCCATCTCTGTGAAATGTCCAGTACCGGCGGGCCCCGGGGAAGGAGTTAGGTCGGTGGCTGCCAGGGTCCACGAGGAGGGAGCAGTGAGGCTGACTGCTGATGGCCGAAGGTCTCTGACCCAGGTGATGGATGTGCTCTGCACAACTCTGAGTAAACTAAGGACCCTGGGATTGTATACTTTAAAGGGTAGATTTTATCACCCTTTAGTTATTTCTCAATTTAAAAAGCCCCCCCCCCCACTGAATTAAGCTTAAACTTGATCTGTGGAGTGAGGAAAAGAGCATGTGAGGGCCACTGCTCTCTGTGTCCCTTCTAGACACCCTCTTGCTGCCCCAGAGAGGTGTATACTGGGTGAGCCAGTGGGGTCTGTGGCCGAGACCTACTTTGCTACAGGGCTAAGCCACACCGGAATCGTGTCCATGGCTGGCAGCATCCTGTCCGACAGAAGGACAGATGGAAATGCAGCCTTTGTCATTCTGATTTCTGTGGTGAGCCATGGACCAGGGAGGCGGCGTGGTTGTCCACAGTGAGAGGTAGGGACCATGCAGTGTTCTGTGCCCTTGTGGGGAGCAGTTACGGTGCAAGTTCTGATCTTATGGTGAGGCTGGTGCTCTCAGGTTGCTCAGCACATCCTGTCCTTGGTCATTGTTTCCGTGCATGTCCTGGTCCATGAGGACCACATGGCATCAGTAGCAGAGCTGTGACTAGGAGCAAACGAGTGGGCACATCTGCAACACACAGAAGGGTGCCTGGCACCTGGTAAGCGCCCAGTAAATATTACCAGTTGTTATTGTTGTAAGCATTATTGTGATTTTTTTCCCTGCTTAAAACTTTCTAAATTCATTCTGGATTAAAATGTTTCTTTTCTAAAAGAACATTTTCCTTGCAAAGATGCATGTACATCTGCAAATATAACAAAAGTGAGAAAATTAAAAAAAATAGGATATATAATTTAAAAAAAACATTTAAGAGTTTTATGCTGGGTGATACCAATTTTTGTAAGAATCTAAAATTAGTTTGTTCAAATATCTGATAAGCCATTTCAATTAGGCATCTGTTTTGCATTTGAAGAACTTTTAAGTTATATTTTCTCATTATGCTTTTATAGGTTCAGAAGAAATTGTTTAGAGCACTACTGTCAGTGTTTTCTTTGAAGCACATCTGTGTTCCTGCTTTCTGGGGTATTTGATCACTACTTAGAAGTATTTACTCAGTGTAGTTTTGGAAACTTTAACCTTGGAAACATGTTTTTTAGGGGGATTATTGCCAAACAAATACATAAATATATTAGAAGCAGGGTTTAGAAAATCTGATGGAGAAACTTCTGGATTTCCACTAGGAATTAAGTAATATACTCTAGGTTCTTCCTTAGTGGAATGTGAAATGCCTGAGAAGCAATAATTTACTATATATTAAATATATTAATTAATCGGAGAGGATTCAGAATATTAATTATCTGTAACTAATTAGGTACTAAAATTGAGAAGCATTAAGTGATGAGGTGTAAGGCTGCACAAGCCATTTAGTAAGCGTTGTGAGAGATGGGGTGGAGGCGGAGCGAGACAGCGGTTCCCACCCTGCCGTGGTTAACTGTGCCTTGTCTTTTCCATGCTTGGCCTGCATAGAGGAGGACGACGTGGCCACGCTCGACATCTCCCGCGTGCCCGCAGAGGTGCTGCGCAACGTTGAGGCCGACACCTACTGGTGCATGAGCAAGCTGCTGGATGGCATCCAGGTGAGCTGCACTCTGTGGGCTCCGGAGGCTGCAGAGAGACTCGGTCCTAGGTCTAAGGGGCCTCTGTGGAGAGGCGTTGCAGGCCTGCGCCCTAGTCTCCACCTGTTACTGAGCTATTACTAAGCTTGGGAGCTCTGGTGTCCACATGGGGGCAGTGCAGCTCCTGTGGCTGGTGAGATGGGAGCTGCATCCCGTGTGCTTCTCATTGGGATGGAGGTTCACAGTGTCCCACTGAGGGTTGCAGTGGGAAGGTGGGCACAGAGTCTGACCCCACAGCTTCTGGTTGTCCCTCATCTCCTGCCTGCAGACTCTAATGTCAGCACCCAAGGGTGGCTGCTCTGGGGTGCAGGTTATTTGGAGGAACCTGCCCCTTAGAGAATTGGGTCGAGGCTGGAGCAGCCCTTAGCCCTACCAGCCTTGGTGCCAGGGCCCTCAGCACTTGGGAGACTGCAGCTGAGCCTGGTCAGAAACCCGAGTGAGTGCAGTCCTGTGCATTATGGCCAGGGTGCTGTGGGTATCCCTGACTGGGATTTTCACAGAAAGGCTGCAGTGACAAGGGCTGCTCTATGGAAATGGGCTGGGGCAAGAATTCTACCCAGTGCCCTGATGGTCCTACTGGCTCACTTAGGAATGAGGACTAGAGCTTGCGAATGTCTCAGGGGTGGTGGCTGAGGTCAGTAATCGCCCTTGAGGGCAGGGTGGGGTGTGTAGGGTCCTGTTGTGCACACGTGCCTTTCCTCCATAGCTGCTTTGTGCTGGGCACTGTGCTCTGTGCTTGGGAGGGAGTGGAAGGGAGTTTGAGGGCGGCCCCAGAGCTCCCTGTAGGACAGGGCAGACATCTCAGTATAGCACAGGCACCCATATGTGGGGTACAGGGGACGCTGCACTGTGGTCGATGCCCACGCAGGAGGGAGAGCCCAGAGCAGGGTTTGGTTGATGGGAGTTTTCGGAAGTTCCCTCTGGGAAGCCCCCCTGGGAAGCCCCGTGTAGGGGGCCCCTTGTTCCAGCTTTAGAGATCCCTCCAGTCTGCCAAGGCAAGGTGGGAATACCTCAGTGTCCCCTGGGCCCTACCTGGTGCTCCTGGCTGAAGAGGTCTCCGATTCTGAAAGGGACAGAACATGGCTTTTATAAAATGTAGCTTAAAGATTCAGACTCTGAGGTTTAATTTGAATAAATTAACTGAAGTCTTTGTGTTGAGGAAAGCTGGGTTTGCATTGCTTTTGATAAGTTAGGCGACGACAAGAAGAAATTGGAATCCCTTTGTGTTGCTGAAGAGTAGAAACCTCGTATCTATTGCTGATCCAGACGTCCTCATGACTTATTTTATTTCTTGTGAAGAAAAATGTGCCCACTGGAGACATATTTTGGCCCAGCCTCAATTCATCACTTCCCTTCTTTTGTTAATGTTTTCATATTTTTATTCTTTCCCCCAGAATTTAACCCTCCCTCCCAAGAAGAGAGATTGAATCATAATGTAAAACTTTATAAATTTCCACTGTCACTCTTCTGCTCGTGAGTGATGGAACTTGTGCCGTGTAAATACAGGATTATCTGGCTTCTGTTTGTAAATAAGATCAGCTGTACAACAGGATCGATGCTGGCTTTTCATTTTTCACCTGAGCCGCTCTCTACCGACCTGGTTTATTGACAGGGCTGATGGGCGGAAGCGCTGTGCTCTCGGGGTGCTGCGTTTACAGTGCGTCGCAGCCCCGGGTGGCCGTCCATCCTCCTGTCATGGGGTCGCGATTGATTCCGAACTGTCCTTGTGAAAGCTGCAGCTGAGGGTGCCAGTCCCTCCATCCCGCCATGTGGGAGCTCAACTGTGGTTCCTGTGGCCAAGGCCCCCCCAGGCGACCCCACTGAGCCCCTCCTGGGGACTGCTGGTGCTCACGAGGGGGCCATCATTTTATTTTCTTAGATGCATGCTGGTTTGAAACCCAGCCTCACATGGGCCAGAGAGAGGCAGCCCTGCAAGGACCCTGGTGCTGCTGTCCTTGATTCCTGGCTACTTCTGCCCCTTTGTCTCTCCTACTTCTGGTCTCTCTCCCTCACATTTAGTCTCCCGAACTGTCTTCTTAAGCCCTCATTTCATCCCATCATTGCCTCGATGGAAAGCCCTTGGGAAAACCTTCCTCAGTTTTAAGTGCAGGCCCTCTGCCTGGCCTTCACCAGCGTCCCTGCATTTCACCGAGTCAGCCGTATTCACCCAAGGGTGCCGACGGCCCACACCTTTGCCACAGACAAAGTGCGGAGTCACTACACCCAAACTGCAAGTCCCCAGCTCTTCTTCGCAGGGACTGAGGACTGCGGAGGGACCCTGTGACCCACGGGTACGATAGTGAGGGTGAAGATGCTGGCTGCGTCTCCTGTGTGACGATGCCTCTTGATGTGGGTGCCGTGGCCTGGACAGATCTGAGTCTGTACCCGTGTGCCCGCTGGAGCTGAGATGGAGCCGCCTGCCCAAGATCCCACAGCTCATGGGGCCGCTTGCCGTGGATCCTCAGCCATGGTTCTTCACACTGCTTCATGGCTCCGCTGGGCTGAAGTGAGGTGGACTGGGCTCTACCTCGCTCTAGAGACACATAGACCACTGCTGTCTGTTTTCTTCACCTCTGATGTCTGGATAATGGTAGATGTGCTTTGAGTTGACCTTGAAACTTCGGTTTGAGTTTCTGTTTTCCATTAGGTTTTATAAATTCCTTGGTTCATTCCATTGATTAGGCTCGAGTGTTGGACCTCCTGCTGTACAGGGCCCTCGGAGGACTGTGGCTCGTGTGACCCACTCATTTTGCTGCCCCAGTGAGCCTGGAACCAGGTTGGCAGGGCCGGGAGAGGTGATGGCTGATGGTGACCAGTGCCAGGCCATGGTGGACAGGAAACATTGAAAACGGATCATCGGACTCCTTGAGATGAGGGTAGTTCTCCAGGAAGGAAGAGGATGGTGGGTGAACTGTGGTCGGGGCTCGGAAGGCGTGCCAGGAGCAAAGCTGGTCCTGCCTGAGAAATGAAGACAAAGCGGTTCTGAGTAGAAGAGAGCTGCAGCGTGAGCCGGAAGTGGGAGCCCAGGAGAGGACCGAAGCTGTGGCCGTGGTCAGCAGACAGGTGCTAGGCCAGCAACAGGCAGGTACCACAGAGCCGGTGGATGTAATGTTAAATGTAAAGAACATTTAAAACTGAGAGTAAGACTGAAGATTTTGGGCTGGGGATTTAGCTCAGTGGCACAGAGCCTGCCTTGCAAGTGCCAAGTCCTGAATTCAATTCTCAGTACCAAAGGAAAAAAAAAAGACTGAAGATTTTCATAAGGACTAAACAGCTGCTCATCAAATGTATAGTCACTAAAATTTACAAGTCTTCAGACACAGGAGAGAATGGAGTTAGCCAGCATGCATCTCTGAGAAAATTTGCGGAGTGGGCAGCACAGAAATACCAAAAATAAGACAGAGGTAAGACGTGGAAGAGGGAGGAAGAATACAGGTTCCTGGCTGGAGGAAAGCCTGGATTTATAAGGATAGCTGAGAATTTTAAGACATTGTTACTTACATTCAGTGAACAAGTCTGGAGAAGATGAGACAGAACAAAGTCACCGGGGGACCAGAAAACGAGAGCACTGTAGCAGGAGGAGAGAGTCCCCAAGGGAGGGCAGGCTGGCAACCCACAGAAGTAAAGATACGGGCGTGGATGAAAGAAGATTGCAGCAGCGCCCGCAGATGCCGGAGAGAGTGGAGCAGTGTGTGCAGTGCTCGCAAGAAAAGTAACCACCAGCCAGATTGGATTTAATGAAGTCTGCCAGCTGCGCGGCTTCCCAGACCCCTCCTGAAATGGGAAGACTCGGGAGGCAGATGGGAGCCGGGGTGGGAACCACAGTAGTGGTTAAGTAGCTGGGTGGTTCCTGTGTAGCTGTGGCATGGCCGTGTGGCTCCTCAGACAGGAAGGAGAAGCACTGGTGAGGACGGAGGCAGAGTGAAGAGCAGCCGCGTCCTTCGGCAGGGCCTGGGCAGGGTAACGTGCAGGTACAGAAGTACTCCAGGATGGGAGAGCGGGAAGGGCCCCGACTGAGACAGGGTGACCTGGAGGCATGGTCAGAGCCGTGCCCTTTTCCAAGTGTCCCCTTCCCTCCCAGCAGCCCACAGGGTGCCTCCCATTCTGTGGCCCACAGTCTGGCTTCCGCTTGCCTGCTTCTCAGTGATTAGCAGGTCAGTTTTTAGCAGGATTGGCAAGAGTGGGCGCATTTGTACCACACTTAATAGTTTGGGCTGGGGGGGTGTGTCTTAGAGCCGCAGGTTTGGCCTGCAGAGAACACTGCTTTCCTAGCGCACTCCGTGATAGCGGTTCCCAAGGAGCTTTGTGGACCTTGGTCTGGTTAGGGGCCAGCAGCTAGGGGAGCATCTCTGCTGTGCCAGACTCTGTCCTGTGGAGGGACCCGGATTGCATGGGATTCATGGTGTAGCTGGGAAGCCAGGACTGTGATTGCGCCTTCCTTCATTTGTGATGGACAGCGCCCTGTCTGCTCCTTTGGTGCTGGAAGGAAAGGAGCAGCGGCTTCATTTCCAGGTCTTGGTCTTACAGGGGAGACTTCATAGAGTGATGCTGGGAAGCCACTGCTTGGCCCTATGAGCAAGTATGTGAGGTCATTGGTACCACCTGTTCAAGCTAGTGGAGCAGTGTGGGCTGTGTTTGGGTCAGGCAGGGGAGACTATGACCCTGATGAGCCGAAACTTGGTGGTAGGAAATGCAGGTGGGCTAGGTTCAAGAGGGCCGGCCAAGCAGCCATATGGAGTGGCACCATGGTGGTCCCATGTGGCAGTGGGAACATGCTGCCTCCTTGGGGCTTCTGGGAAAGACCTGGATGCTTTGGGTAGCTGTCATAACGGGGATGCCCCTGGCATTGTTTGACAGTGTTAGGCTACTAAATGTCCAGCAGTGCACAGACTGTCCTGTCCAGGAAGAGTCTTGTTAGCACATAGGAAGAAGCACTGTATAGAAAGATGCTGGGCTAATAG